CCTGTTTGGGGGAACGCTGTTCCCGTGATGCCGACCTTCCTCTGGGGGGGGAGCGGGGCGTGAAGCCAAGGTCGACTGTCCCCCAGGAATTACATCGCTCAGCTCCGCGGGGCCTGAGTCATAAGAAACCCGCAGACACGGACACAAACAGCGACGTCATTCCCCCCGAGACCGTCAACACGCGACACATGACGCGTGCGCACCGCGCGTGGGTTGGGGCGTCTGACGGCTGGCGTGGGCTGCTCCCGAAGTTCACCGTGCGCCTGACCGGCCCGCAGGCCCCCCGCTGTGGCGGGCGCAGGGCACGGGAGAAAGCTCTGGAGGGTCCTGGAAGGTTCCATCCGGCCCTGCAGGGGCCACGGGGGTAGGTCCCCCGGTAAAGACCTCCCCCCATCACCCTGTACGAAGACGGCAGTGTGGGTGTGCTGTGGGGAGGGGGCTGTGTGTGCGTCTCGCCCATGGGTGTCGTCTCAGGAACACCCTACGCTTTCAAACTCCGAGCACATCTCTGGGTCCAAGAGCAAGATCATGGCCAGGGTGGCTCAGTGGTTGAGCGTCGCCCTATGAACCAGGAGGTCACGGTGCGATTCCCGGTCAGGGCACAGGCCCGGGTTGCAGGCTCCGTCCCCAGTGTGGGGCGTGCAGGAGGCAGCCGATCCCTGATTCTCTCTCATCACTGATGTTTCTCTCTCTCGCCCTCTCCCTTCCTCTCTGAAATCAATAAAAATATGCTTTTTTTTTTTAAAAGGGTCCTAGGCAGTTTGGCCGAGGGGGTAGAGCATGGGTCCTTGGACTGAAGGGTCCCGGGTTCAATTCCGGTCAAGGGCACGAACCTCAGTTGCAGGTTCGATTCCCAGTCCTGCCCAGGAGCACCCTGCAGCCGATCGGGCCTCACCTGGGCCTCTTGTCGGTGAAGGCGACGCAGGTGTGCTGCGAGGGCACCGCCGTCCACTTCTTCGCCTCCAGGACCAGGGCTTCCGCGTCCACCAAGCCGAACCCGTACAGATGGCTGACTGGAGAGACAGCCCTTCAGACCTGGCGCCCCTCCCCACCGGCCCCCCGACTCCCGCCTACGGGGGGCACCTGACCCGTGACCCCCCTGGCTCCGGGACAGACCACCTGGACTGCTCAGGGCTGGAAGGATCTAACTGTCGGATTGCTCCCAAGATCCTTTGCACTACTTAGTCTAAACACTCT